TATCCCTCACTATACTTTGAATATAAAAAGAAAATTGTTAAACTAATACATTCTTTGTTTCACTCAGTATCCAAAATCTTTAAAATTGAACGGTTACTGTTTACTTAAAAATAAATATGCAAATACACTTTAAACAGTATTTAAATTTAAAAAACAAATACTTTTTAAAAATAATTTCTTAAATTAATATATTTATGCTACGAAGAAAATTAAATTATAAAAATGTAATTATAGTTAATATTTCCTATAAACTTTATTAATATGTCAAAACGAAGAAGGCTAAATTTAAATTAAGAGAGAAATACGAAAATTCCAAGGTTTCAACTATTTGTAAAATACAACTAATAATAATAATAATTTTAAATTATTATATATTTTGATCAAATAATAATTATCAACAATAAATTCAAATGCATAATGGTCTTCAAAATAAATTTTCGATAACTTATAATATATAATATTAACAGTTTTTGGATTTAAAAAATAAAAAAATGATACATCGGATTTGAAAAAAGTTATTGTCCCTTAAATCTTAAATTATTAAGCTCAACTCATTTTACGCCTTCCAATAGCTATTCCTTACATAAAAAATATTAATTACAACAATTTTACGAGTATATTAATAATGACGATTTATTAAAATTAAAACTATTATAATTAATTAAATGTATATTAATTATATTTTTTGAACTACAATTAAATGTTATTCATTATATTATGTAATACATGCAACCCCTCTTAATTCAAACAAAAATATTATTAATTTATTTTATATAATAAAAATAATTAATAAATTGGGGTATTTAAAGAAAACTCCTCTCATTTTTCAAAATAAAATTTATATATATATATATATATATATATTTAAAGATCTCCAAGAATTAAAACAAAATTTATAAAATTAAATTTAGCAATAAAATAACATTTGATTCAAAATATTATTTGTCTGCGCAAAAAAATTTTTAAATTTTTAAGGTTAAATTAAATATAAGACTCTAATCTTGGATTCCTTCTACAATATATAATTATATAATATTCTACTACACCATTAAATGTTTACTTAGACAAATAAATAAATAAACCAAAATCCATTTAATAATGCATTACATAAACAAATACTATACTAGGTACCTAGAAACATTATTAATGACGGAAACATGCTATTTACTTCTTCAGTATTATCTTAGATAATATTATGTTTGAAGTAATTCAAATAATTTTCAAGACTTAAAGTTATAGATTTTTAGTGTTTAACAACGAAAAAATCAATTAGGAAAAATATAAAATCACAAATTCTAGTACCAGCTTAATCGAGTAAAAAAATGTTGTAAATTGTTAATTCATTTATTGATACCGTTAGGTTATTCAGATACACAACATACATATATTTTATCAAATACTTAAAGAACTTCCAAAATTAATGTAGGACTCTGTTATGAACATGCATTATTCTAAACAAATTCTTTATATAAGTACCTACTTGCTATTACAACTTGTGAGAGGAGAACTTTAATAACACAAAAACCTAGTAATCTAAGTTCCATTAGGTAGAACTTAAGCCAAAAATATTGTATAATTTCTATATAATGATAAATTTCAATAAATATTGGGTAAAAACCTTTGTAGTTAAAGCCTTTAACCAAATATGCATATATAGGTATGTTAAAAAATATGTTTAAAATTTTCAATTATTATAAACAGTAACTAACATTTTTGAATGTTAATATAATAGGGATTAATACTTAATAATTAAATTACTAAAATATTTACAGTAAATTATTACATTTTTTAGGATTAGAATATTTACTTTTTTACTTTCTTATAATATACGACGTGATTAAAAATATTTAAATAATATTTGCTAATTAAAACTTTTGAATTCTATAATTTCATCGAATATATCTAATGGACGATTTTTGGCTAAAATTATATATGCTACGTATAATACACAATAATAAAACATGCCACAAAAGAAATTGTTTCATTTTTCACATTGTGATAATTGCATCGGCTATTAACCAAGGCTCAAAGACTAAAGAAAAAAAATCTTACAATGGAAAATAAGTTAAATTACCATCAGCTCTGCTAAACTAACAGTAGAAGCAAACTTAAAAACTAATTTAAAAGATACAAAGACAAACTAGACTTGTATTAGTCTTGCAATAATCAATAATTTCATTCCAAAAACGATTCTTATAAAGAGTTTTCTTTACAACAATAATATTGAATATCTGAGTATAATAATAATATATAATGGCCCATAAATTAAAATTTTCAATAAAAATATGAAAAATAACAAAATATAACAAATATTTATCAAAATTATTGAGATATTCTGAATATTTTAACCATAATAATATGATGGTATTAATTTTTATTTTAAATACCTATTCAAATTTTTAGACTTGAAATTAAATACTAAATCAAATTACTTGTTAATAAACTCTCGCTTTATATATGCTAAGTATTTAAAACATATTGTAATATCCAACCAATATTGAATTTTCAATTAATACAAAAGTATAGAATATAATATGAAACAGTGAGACAGTTAAAAACGCTTATTAGTCAAAATATGTTCATATGATAATAATAATTACAATGACTTAAATGTATTATTTAATTTCATTCATATTACCTATTTATTAATAATTTTTAAAATATTTTAATTAACATTTATGTTGTTTTTTATAGGTATTAATTGTATATTATTAACACAAACATTTTAAAAATACAGACAATTTCAATAACAATTAAGAATGCAAATTGATTGTAATTATTATATTATATTGAGTTTTACAATTATGTGTAAATAAATACATCTTGACTTATTACATAGGTAAGTTTTGTATTTTACAATATGTTTTAATTATTACAACTTACAAATCAGTTGAGTTTGTAAAAATTATATTTAATATAACATTATATCTATATCGATGATAGGTATAGTACTCAATATGAACAGATTTTATAGAAAGTTAACTCAATAATTGTTTATATATTTAAATTATGACGATGTATTTATTTACATTTCAAAGAATAAATTATACAGAAAAATTCATCAAGCATGCTCACCCTCATTTTTTCTTTAGTAATATATTTATTCAAATTCTGATTTTTTTAAATTTTAAAGAATACTTGAAAATCATATTTTACCATTTAATCTATTTAAAGAGAGTAGACAATAGGGTCGACTCGAAAATTTGAATGGTATGGTGACAATCTTAATCAGAGAATGTTAATACTTAATTAATACACATAAGATATTATAATTTTTAAAAAATTTTGAATACCATAAATTCAAGATCCAATGTAACATATATTTGATAAATTTATAAACCGATATTTAAAAACAATTAACTAATCTTAATTTATACATTTTCACAAATCAAAACTGCTTAAGAATTCCAAAAAATAATACATATATTTGATTAAATTTATACTTCAAAAAAATTAGGGTGAGTATATTTAGTAAATCATACTGTATATAATGCATATAAAGTAATGATTTACTTACATTTACACATGCATTTTTATTTCACAAATCGCATTAATTCAAATAATTGAATAAATCAATTTTACCAAAAGTGACTCATTACTTTGGATAAAGACCTCAAGTATTCCTTAATTCTAAATTATCACTTCTGGAAAATGTGTTAAGTTTATATGTAAATTTATCGTTTTGACTGCCATTTTTCTCTGTCTCAACTTAAGAACCCACTTACTCAGAAGTCTAGGTGACGCACTGATAATAGCTTAAAATATATCGATGACATTACATAACTATCTATATGTATTTACCATATATACAAAATATATCTGTCAACTTATATATATTGTGTATTTTTAGCTTTTATTATTTATTATAAATTTAATACAAATATATTTGTTTTAATAATTTTAATACTTCCCAGATACCAGAATCAATCAAACTATAATAAAATAATAATACATTTTAATGCTTAATGACCTATTTTAATATTTTTCTCCTAAAAAATGTTTTTTTTTTTTTTTAAATACTTCGTTAATTTAATTAAAAACTACAATTTTTATAAAACTCAATATTTTCAACTTAAGATTGTACCTATTAATAGATTTTATCGAATTATTTTCGAAAATTACACCTTAAACAAACATTTATTTTATATATTATTTTTATAGATTACCCTAAATTAAATTAAATATATTTCATTTATAAAAAAAATTAATGTTCTTTATACTTAAAAGTTATATTATTTTATATTTTATAAAGATATAAATTAACGATACACTTATATAATACATTTTAGCAAACGATATAAATAGATATTGAGTATTATTTTACCAGTGTCTAATAAAATATAATTTCGTATAAGTAAACGCGTATTATACATATATTTATATAGACTTAATAATATGGTACAGAAGATATGACAAGATTTCAAAATGAGCTTTTCATAATACCTTGTCCCACTTACATGAGCCATATATAACCAGGTTTAAACCAGTTTTTTCATAACCATAATGGTATAAAATATTATTAGTTTTTATTGTTATTACAACATTTGAATATTTATGTTGTAAAATTCAGTGATGCCCATTATTTTAATTGGTAAAAGTTTTAAATAAATATTAATATTTCCGGTATTTTATTTTAGTTTTGTATATTATACTCAATAAATATTAATAATTTACATCTTAGGATTTTTCAACAATATAATAATATGAATTTATTTTAAAATAACAATCGAAATATATACCTCACAATTTGTTTAATATAAAAATTTAATAAAATATATATATATAAAATTATATATAACTTACTACATATAAATATGATATTTTATTAGAATTTTAGGTATATATCTTGTATATAAATTGATGTTAAAATTTTTTTAATCTTTGGAAACACATTCAAAATATATTCTTAAATTCACTATATCTATTCATTCATTTAAATATAAATAATATATTAAAATACCGATTTAAATATACTATTATAAAACAATTAATTTAAATACCTGTAGTTTTTTTTAGACATTCCGATATCAAAGTTAAATTTGAAGATATCTTTTCACTAATTTATTCAACCAATCAATGAACTCATTTCTTTGTGTTCTTTCCTAAAAAAAAAAAAAAAAATCGTTGATTAAAATAACATTTTTAAGTAAATTTTAGTAAATTAGTTAACAATTTTTGTATTAATCTTTTACTTTAAACGTTTTATTCAGTTTTTATATCAAAATAAATCAATTATTCCAACAGTAAAGAAAATTTCCTTTATCTACATCATAAGTAAAAATTTAAGATAAACAAAAAATAATATTCCAAGTTAAAATTTATTGAGGTATATTATTATTTATTGTCAACTATATTTGTTTTAACTTTTAATAATATATAAAATTAGTTAACTAATTATATAGTTTAAGTATAAAAATATATAATTTCTTAAAACTACTTAATAAATGTTATCGTTTAATCTGTATAACTGTATTATAATAAACAATTTTCACATTAAAATAATAAAAAAAATTAATAATAGTATAAATAATTGTTTTTTTTTTTTAATTATGCGTCTTACTCATTGAAAAACATTTGTTGTGTTTGAAGTAAAACATTATTTTATGCAAAAAACTTTCAATAAGATATAATGAGCTTTTCTAAATAAGTTTCTTAATAAAATAAAAATATTATCTTTCATTTCATAATTTCTGTTTTTATTGATGTGGTGTTAAGTATTAGATATTAATACACACAAAAAATAAATAGAAAAAACTACTAAATAAATTAAAATTTCAAAAAAATTACTAATTAAATAACACATAAAAAAAATAAAAATTTGAAATCGGATGTCGAATCAGCATTTTGCAAAAGTCTACCAAATTCCGAAATTGTACAATTTTTTGTACCCTATTTAATATAAGTAAGTGTCGTAAATTTACAAATGTGTATTATATGATCATTTTTAATATGCATGCCTATAAAATATACGCAGAAGAGACAACAATATCGCCCGTACGATTTATTCGGGAACGAAAGATATAAAAAAAAAAAAAAATTACCTAATAATATATATATAAAAATGTCACAACGGGGTACGACCTAATGAAATATTGTTTGGCGTACGAATCGATTTAATTATTTCTCATCGTCTGCACTATATTTTACCAATTCCTTTCTGCCGCCACCGCCGCACACTATATTACATATATATATATATTAGGTAATACTTAGACGCTGCTACAACATTGACACAATATTTCTCTGCCGTCTCCGCCTCGCGCGCACACGTTAAGATCATTTGCTTGGAAAAGCACAATAATATATCGTATATATATATGCTCACACAAACTCACACACACATACACTCATACGGTAAACGTGATCATTCAAAGGATAACGGTCGTAGACTGGACCGGAGCCAACCGCAGAGCGAGAGTGAACTCCCTCGGGTGTCGTTTTGTAGCCGCTGAAACAATGAGAACAACTGTCGATGACGGTAGGTTTTCCGCAATAAACGGGAGATGGCGCAGAGAATGGTTGTGATTATCTTTATCTCCGCCGAACACGACCGCACGCGCACGCAAACGGTTAAATTAAACAGAGTTAAAGACGTCGGATTCACAGCGATACCAAGTTATACTGTTGAGGTAGGTGCCTACTGCCTATGCATGTTAATATGAAACTCCTAGTAAAACGTTACGCTACACGGGTATTACAACGGTACTTCATTATTCCATTGATCGCGATGTCCGAACTAAATCTAGAGACGTGTCGCTAAAGAATATTCGCAGATATACCCCTTTTTTACGCGAGTGGGTAGACGAACGAGGTAAAAACCACATCATTAAATCAAAAAAAAATAAAATAATTCTCTTGCTTTAGTCGAAAACATTATTTTCTAGCAGCCCTTATTATGATTATCAGATGCAAGTATTTTATACTTTTGAAAATATTTACTGTAGAACTTTTATAAACAAAAATCATGAAAACCCAATGAAAAACGTGAAAGAAAACTACACACATTTTAAAATTTAAAGTGATAATTTAAAGTATACACGCCATATACACCCCTTACTTACTATTCAAAATACACTATTTATTATCAATTATAATATTATATTACCTAACATCAGTTATTAACACTAGAAATTTTTATTTACGATTTAATATTTTTCATATAATAACAATACAATTATAAATCAATTAATATTTGAGACGTGATTCGGTTCTCACAGTTTCTCATAGTGAGAATAGTGGAGCCTCGAAAATAATAAATACTATATAAATAATATTTTTGTGTCTGTTCATTGTGTTTTAATTAATAATAATTTCGATACAGCGGTCTACAATGTTTATTTTTAGGCGTGTGGATTTTATTAAAATAGTTTGAATTCAATTAGAATTTATTATAAACAAATATACGTGATTTGTTTTTAAATACTTACTTACAATACATCTTTCACACTCAGTGTATTAAATGCAACCAATTAAAACAATAATAATATTAAAGCGTAATTAATAAATCAATATAATAAAATATATGAAAATAAAATATTTTATATTCATTTGATATTAATAATATAATCATTATGTATAATGCATTTAATGAAAAATACAGTCATTGAAGAGATACTAACACATTAAGATATTTAACATGTAAGTAAGATAATATAAAAATCAATGTTTCACAAACCTACAGATTATCAATAATAACTTACTAAATATTACTTAAACCTCAAATTATGTACAAAATTATGCGAAAACAATCTTTATCTTGATCTTTTTATAAATAATCGAATTGAATTTTACGTCACTAATAAGAATGAGTAAAAAATTAATGTTAATCTGGATATAATTATACGAGCAAACGTTTTAATTATTTCTCTTCAATATATTATCGCAAATTAGATACATATATCATATTATTACTGAACATACGTTAACTTATTAGATATAATTTAACTCTCAACTATAGCAATCGTGTATAAAATATAAGTCCTTGCTGGAATTACAATGAATCTGTTAAAATTGTAAAACCTAAGAATAAATAAACAATAAATAATGGAATATGGGCCACGAGACACATAATTTGTACAGTATCCGCCTAATGCCGATAATTATTATGGAATCAGTAATTGGAACATATTAGTCCATGTCATTCGATGCCAATTATCCTTATAGCTCAAGCCAAGAGCCGTCTCCAATGGCCTGTTATAAAAACTAATCAACTTTTATCGGTGCTTTGGGAACTGACAAAACGAGAATAACGAAAGGTAAAACGAGTGAATATTTTGTTTTTCACTAAATCAACTCCGTTGGGTTATCACTGTTTTATCGATAATTTATAAAAAAAAAAAATCTGTTGTTTTTTTTTTTTTTTGTGAGAGAAAAAATAAAAACTTACGAAAAAGTAATCACTGCGTGACATTGTTAGATGTAAACTTTGAATATAACACATAAATATTTATTAAAAATTGAGTTTGCCGTAGGGTAGACGTTGTGATAGGTAGGTACTTTTAAGTCAGTTGAAAACGAAGTTTCTCTAGCAGGTAGGGTAGATGATTGCAATTACTTTTACAGTTGTCGCACAACAGAAAAAGGGACTATAAAAGATTAATTGATATTAGCGATGGAACCGTGCAATTACTTTTTGTTCGCAAACTTTATATTGGCAGAGTTGTCTTATTGTGAGTGTAAATAATTATTTTTATGAAGTTCGTGCAAGTACGTGTCGAATACGATTGCCAATTGAGGGTTCTGTGATCGATGTCTACAAATTTCAACATACAGTGTTAGTTAATAGACATGACTTTAAATACTCCACTAGTAATTTTAGATATTCAATCCAAAATTCTTTATTAAAATTAATATCTATTTGATTATACAGTGTAGTTATTCTAATAGTTTTAAAAACAATTTTACATTTGGCGCATCCGTTAGTTAACTATCGCTATTATACAATATTTCAGGGTTAAATTTTACTGTAACCTTATTTTTTTTATTAATTAATTTGAGTTTAGCCCTACTAATATGGTAAAACATAACGGTTTTCAATTAGATTTCTACTTATGATGTCTAGTACAATTATCGACTGAAACACGCTGTGTAACAGCTGCGCTATATCCATCGAAAATTATTACGTTGCTAGATATTTTATCATGTCGATGAAAAATATTAAGACTTTTTTTCTATTCCAATATGTAATATAAAAATACAAATAATATACACTCCATATCACGAGTATTTACTAATTTAAACAGTGGTAGTAATGCAGATCCCGTATAATACTCCATCGCATGCAATTAGTACCTAAAAGCAGTAAAAACTCATTGTGGAACATTATTTTATTATATTCATATTTATTAAAAACCCATATTCAATTAAACCATATTATAAAGGTAGAATTATCGAGTAGATTGCACATAATAATACATGTAATAAGTGTATACCTACGTCATAATTTATAGAAAACTAACTGAAAACCGATTAAATTTAAATGGGTAAAAAACCAAACACAGCCGATACATAGAACTCTGGATGGTTTTGTCACGAAAATACAAATGGAAAGTCCTCAAACCTATCAATTAATATTTAATTGAACGTATGTACATTGATTGCCGGGTTTCCATAACGCCAACGCCCTTGACGTTAAACGAGATAGGAACGTCCGGGATAATTCGCCCTCAGGGTTTGCTTTAATGTATTTACCTATAGCGTTTTATTATGGAAGCGCATTTCAAAATTTTCCTACTTTCGTGATTTATTATGTCCAGTATACGTCCACAGACGAAACTATTTACATATTATACATAGCGTTGATGAATGAATCGTTCTATTTTGAAGTGAACATTCAAATAATAGATGTTATGTATAGCACTTTATCAAACAAGTTACCGAACATAGAATTAAATTGTAAATTAAATTAAGCTTGATAAATACAATATTTATAACAAATATTTTACTGCAACTACAAACAAATACAATAATTTTATCGACATTTATTTTTCTTACGAAAAATAAGTAAAATTAAATTACCAAATTATTATGCTATATAGTAAGTATACAATATAATATAGAAATCATTGAAACACGTATAACTAGTTCGTCTCGATATGTCATA